TTATAGTATTCTCTATTACTCCCTCCCGTATCTTATGATATTATTGTTATTAATTTTACTTATCCATAAGCTATATTACCAAATACATCATTGATTTTATTATTTTGAACAAACTACTATCTGCTAGATAATTAAAAATAAGGAAAATAGTTATCAGAGAAATGTAAATCTAAACCATAATGAGATACCACCTCACATTTGTCAAAATGGCTATCATCAGAAAAGTCTACAAATAACAAATTTTGGCAAGGATGTGGAGACAAGGGAACCCTAGTATACTGTTGGTGGGATTGTAAATTGGTGCAGGCACTATGGAAAAAAACTGTGGAGGTTCCTCAAAAAGCTTAAACTATAACTGCCATATGACCCAGCAATTCTACTCCTAGATATATATATCTGAAGAAAATGGAAACATTAATTTGAAGAGATACTTGCACCCCAGTGTTCATAGCAGAACTATTTGCAATAGCCAAGACATGGAATAAACCCAAGTGTCCATTAATGGGTGAATGAATAAAGAAGATATGGTATATATGCAGTGGAATATTATTCAGTCATCAAAACAATGAAATTTTGCCATTTTCAGCAATGTGGATGGACCTAGAGAATATTATGCTTAGTGAAATAAGTCAGACAAAGACAAATACTGTATGATAGCACTTATATGTGAAATTAAAAAAATAGTAAAAATGAATGTTTATAGCAAAACAGAAACAGATTCCAAGATATAGAGAACAAACTAGTGTTTACCAGTGGGGAAATAGAAGGAAGGAGGGGCACATTAGGGGTATGGGATTAAGAGATACAAACTACTATGTATAAAACAGATAAGCAACAAGAATATATTGTATAGCATAGAGAATTATTGCTATTATCTTATCATAACTTTTAATGAACTATGAACTATAAAAATACTGAATCTCTATGCTGTACACCTAAAACTAATATAATACTATAAATCAATTATGCTTTAATAAAAACATAATAAAAAATAATTTAACTTTTTTAAATAAGAAAAATAATTTTTTTTTACCTTTGTTTATTCCTTCTCTAATTCTCTTCCTTTCTTTACGTAGATACAAGTTTATGGCATATCATTTTCCTTCTTTTTGAAGAATTTCTATTTTATATTTCTTGGAAAGTAGGTTTACTACTGTCAGATTTCCTCAGTTTTTATTTGTCTAAGAAAATCTTATTTCTCCTTCACTTTTGAAGTATAATTTTTCTGGATACAGAATTTTAGGTTGGTGGATTGAAAAAAATAGTTTTAAATATTTCATTCTACTCTGTCATTGCTTGCATAGTTTCTAGAGAGATCTGATGTAGTTCTCATCCTTGCTGCTCTACAGGTGAGGTATTTTTTCCTATGGCTTCTTTTAGGATTTTCTGTTTGTCTTTGATTGTCTTCATTTTGAATACGGTATTCCTAGTATATTTTTATATCTATATATTTATCCTGCTTGGTATACTCTGCACTTCCTTGATATTTGGTTTAGTGTCTATCATTAATTTTGGAAAATTCTCAGTCATTACTGCTTTGACTATTTCTTCTGTTCCTTTCTTTTTTCCTTCTCCTTCTTGTATTCCCATTATGCGTATTCCTTTTATAATTGTCCCACAGGTTTTGGTTATTTTGTTCTACCTTTTTAATTTGTTTTCCCTTTGCATTTCAGTTTTAGAAGTATTTATTTATATTTCTTCATGCTCACTGATTCTTTCCTTGGCTGTGTCTAGTCCATTGATGAGCTCATCCAAAGCACTTTTGTCAAATTTCTGTTACAGTGTTTTGATTTCTAGTATTTCCTTTTGATTATTAGAATTTCCGTTTCTCTGCTTGCATTACCCATCTTTTCTTGCATGTTGTGCACTTTTTCCATTATAGCCCTTAGCATATGAATAGCAGTTGCTTTAAATTTTGGTATAATATTCCAGCATCTCTGCCATGTCTGTGTCTGTTTGATGCTTGCTTTATCTCCACAAACTATATATATATTTCTGTCTTTTAGAATGCCTTATAATTTGCTGTTGTGAACCAGATATGATGTACTGGTAAAAGGTACTGGAGTATAGACATTTTGTGTGAGGCTTTGTGTTTATATGATTAGGAGTTAGGCTGTCTTTATTGTTTTCTGTAGCTGTAGGTGTCAGAAGCTAAAATTTCCTCTGGTGCCCTTGTTGTCTCTCCTGTTGTCTCCCTTCCCCCTGCTGGAAGCACCAGGGAATTTTTCTCTGATCTTCACTGTGATAACCTGGTAGGGCTCCTGTAGGTAACACTCAGCAAAAAGTAGAGGTCATTCTCCTATGACTGAACTTCCTGGAATTTTTAACTCTCAAATTTGTCTGTATTGAGCAATTCTATCAATTACCAGTTCGGTTTTCTTATCCTGATGTTGCTTTCCCTGTAAGTTCTACTTGTGGGTTTTTGTTCCCGTAAATTGTAATTCTCTGTATCCACCTGTCTGTCTCTCCAATGTAGGGGGCAGTTTTTTGACCTGTGACCTCAGTTCTCTATTGTGTCTAAGAAGAATTGTTGATTTTTTGTTTTTTTTCAATTTTTTTTTCTTCTATGGGAAGGAGTGGTGACTTCCAAGAGTCTTACATGCCAGAATGGAAACTAAGAGTTATAATGCCACAGTTTCAACATGCGACTTAATGCTTTGCCACAGCAGTGGAAACACCTCAGAGAGTTGCACACTGGCTCCTAAATTCTTCAACCTGACAATGACATGTCATTTCTATTCATATTTCACTGGCCAGAGTAAGTCACATAGTCACACCCAATTTTTGAAATGTGAGAAAATGTAACCCTCCAGTGTTCCTTGAAAAAGAGGACAATCAGAAGTACTGGGAAGCATTATTAATAGTTACCAGAGCATGCTCTATTAGATAGCATTTCCAACTCCACCTACTACCCTACACTCTTACCACATTATTTTTGCCTTATTACTTTATTATACCATATTATACTATATATATTATAGTTCATTATAGTGAAACTTGTCATGCTACATGCTCTGTTTATTGTTTGTCTTTCCTCTTCTACCCCCACCAACGTGAGAATCTTGGGAACTGAGACTTTGTCTGCTCTATTCTATTTGTCTATTTTTATCCCCAGAACCCAGAGTATTCCAGTGCCAGTACATATTTGGTGAATGAATTAGTGAATATATTTTATTTAAAACTGAGGAACCCAGAAAAATGAACCCTTTATGTCAGCCAAATCTGGCGCAGAAATTTTTCCAACAGGGGTAAAGCTATGTAAACCTTGTGCGGAGTCTTTGTCGGACTAGCTGGCAGCATCCTTTGCTATCAGACAGCAAGGAGAGAATGAAAAAGCCTCAGAAGTTCCCAGGAATGTGGTGCTATTTTAAGGCAAGGTTATACACAGCTTGAGGGAAAATGAGTTTGAAAATGAGCTTAGGCATTTAAACAATGCAGGTAAAAGATGTTAATAACTTGAAAAATAGGTAAATTTAATTTAAGAATCTTTCCATCTCAGGTTTGTTTGTAGTCAAGGATATTCAGCTCTCATTCCTCACTTTTTGAAAAGCAAAAAGCTAAGTCACCTCTTGAATATGAAATGTAGATGCAATACTTGGAACATTCTCCTTCTTGAGGAACAGACCTGCCAGATCCTGGGGTGGTTAAAATGCGGATTTCCTGCTGATTCATGCACACCATCTTTGTGCTTTTTTAGGCTTATTGTTCACTCTGAGCTTAATGAGTGCATTCAGGCATGTAATGAAGAACAACGCCATCACACAAACAATTCATTGAAATTCAAAGATAAGGTGATTTTATCAATTATATTATTCAGTAGAGTAAATTTGCAATTTAGTAAATAATACATAGATTTGGTGGCATCTGGAACACTGTTGTGTTGAGATTCATGATATTAGCAGCCATGCTATAAAAATGGCATTCGTAACAGTGGGTGTAAACCTTTTGTTTCTCTACTTGCTAGAGGAAAGAGGTGAGAGCAGTGCAGTTGTGGATTGCAGGTCCCTCTGGTGTGAAATTCATCCTAAGTTTAAAACATTGGATGGCCAAAAGCGTGGGTTCCCATAGCAAATGATTTTTATTTTCACCTGCATGAACCTTAGGTAATGGGATGAACACAGGGCTGATAGGCAGGTGAACCACCCCTCACTGATTGTCCAAGAGTTACTTGGTTTAAGCAAATCACTTTCCTTTCTGCTCTTTCTTTTCTATTTCTTTTATAAAGTATGTTACGGAGTTTTCAGAGCATGTTCATATGGATCTCATTTGATCTCATAACACATCCCAGTGAGGTTAGCTGGTCAAGGGTTTACTCACTTCTGTTTCTAGATAAAAGACACCGTTGCATGGAGAGTAAGTGAGAAGATTGGAGCTTTTGACTCGTAAGCCCAGCGCTATAAAAATTACACAACAATGATGCTCCGGGCCTTGGTTTCCATATTTAATTTGTCAACTTAAGCTGTGGGTATGACAAGAGATAAGTTACATTTTAAATATTCTGACTAGTCAAAGTCTTATGCAATTGTTAAATAATCATCTTGCTTTTGTTAAATCCAAGGGCTCTTTCCTTAGACCATAAAGCCTTCTTCTCCACATGCTTCTACAGCAAAATGTCCAAAATAAATGCATGTGTATAGCCCTGGAATTTTTCATGTGAAAACATTTAGGAATGAGGACTCTTAAAAGAAGAGTAGAGAGTCATTAAAAAGTAGCCAGTGGTAACTCTGATTTGGCCTTTTTTAGGACCATTATCAAATTAAGTTTTTTAAATGATGACTTGTTGGTTTGCTTCAATGTTCTGTTTTCTAATTCATTGATAAAGACAGTCCTCTTACTTTTGACTAGGCTTTGTTACATAGGACTATAATCTTCAAGGACAGAATTACAGTAACAAATAACTGTTTTGTAAAGGACCAACATTTGCAGTGCATATGGTCTCTGTCATGAATTCTCAACTCTACTGTTGTACAGTACAAAATTTGCCATAGACAACATGTAAATAGATGAGCGTATCTCAATAAAACTTTATTTATGGACACTGAAATGTGGATATCATATAATTTTCCCACATCATGATATATGATTCTTCTTTTGATTTTTTCCAACTATTTAGAAATGAAAAAGCCATTCTTAGCTCATGGGCCATGCAAAAACAGGTGACTGGCTGGACTGGTCCATGGGCCACGTTGAACACTGACCTGGAGCACAGGAGAAACATTCGTTGCTACCATAGACACTACTCTGTTTGAGTGATACTTTGAGTTGGAAAAATGTTTCTAGGGAGTCTATTCTTACAACATAATCTTTCATCACTGTCAGCAAAGGCAATATCTAACAGCAAGGGTTTAGAAGTTAGGTGGTCATCCTTGCATAGGAAAAGTAGAAGAGTTTCCTCATCAGAAATTGGAGACCCCTTCTTTACATTCAAGGGAGGGAAATTAATTAGCATAATTTGGCATAAAACTTGCAAAATCTTTGGGCAAAGACATTCACACAGGGCTAAGGACATTACTTCCCTCAATTTGGTGCTCAATAAATATCTGTTGAGTTAATTGAAATTTCCACAAAATTCCTAAGTTCTTGCTTATTATGTAGAATGAAGTGAATATAGACTATAATTATCCATTTAGAAGACAAGGGGTTAGAGCAATGAACCTTTAAGTAGCAATCTTCACTGCTGTTTATGAAGGGTGATTATGAAAGACTTAAATGACAGTGAGATTTTACAAAAGTGCTAGGCAGTACGGCAAGGTGTGCACAATATCTAAATGATTAGCCATTATGAGCTTGATAATACCCATGACTGAGCTAATCTATGGCTATAAATTGGATATCTATGGAACCTGCTATATATTCTTTTAGCTCTCCAGCATGTAATCCAGTCATAATGGAACAGCTAATCACTGCTGTGTCCTATTATCTTAGAAGTTCACACATATTCTAAACTCCTTTGCCTCATAGTTAATGCCAAAATATGTTAGTTCCTAACTAATCTTTAGTTTTTTTCATGTGTGCTACTTTTATTTGTTCAACTAAATCATGTTTCTTTTGGGCAGGATCGTATCACATAAATAAGAGCAGCATAATGATTAAGAGCATGATTGTGGATTCAGGCTATTGGGGGTTTAAATTCTGTCTTGGCATTTACTAGCAGTGCAACTTGAGACACATTACATAGTCTCTCTTTGCTCTTGGTTTATTAATTTTGTAAATAATGATAGTAAAAGTATTTACTTGATTGGATTGGATTGCTGTCAGAGTTAAATGAATCAATGCATGCAAGGTACTCAGAAGAGTTGCTGGCACACAGTAAGGATTCAAGTAATGCCAGCTAGAAATAGACCTTTGGGTCCTAGTCTGATGCTATAAAATCCTGTTTATAAGCTGATGACTCCTCCAGTCCTGATTCCTCCACTGAACCCCACTAAAGTTATCCACTTGGAATACTGACACACCTCCACTTTGAAAGAGAGTATTCATCTCAAAATTATCATACCCACACAATGGACTTTTTTCCATTCCAAATCTATTGTCTCTTAGTTTTTCCCATCCAATATGCAGCATTGACAACAAAAATCTACTATTTCCTTTTGAGATTTTCAGGAGAGACGTGACAGGTGAGGGGGTTAGGGTGTAGATGTGTGAAATCTTCAACTATTGACCCCAAAGCATAATTGATTCATCACTATTGATCTCAAAATAAAATAGGAATGATCCACATGTAGCTGAATATAGGCTATAATCTAGTTTCCTTCTTTTACTTTAGTCTTTGGCTACCAGTGATCCTTTTGCCTTTCCCTTAGGGAATAGGAAAGACAGAGAAGGACAAGAATCAGTATAACATTTAAACAACAGTGCTAGCGTGCTTGTGATAGCCATCTCGACGTGATGTCATGAGTAGCTGGTGTTGCCTTGGCAACACTACAGTGGTAAACAAAGATGTTTTCTGGATGGCTAGAGGAAATGTGGCTTTTATGCTATCTCACACCCTTTTGCCACCAACCCCCTCCCATAGGCAGAAAAGATATTTCTTTCCTTTTGCTATGAATTTTCCACCTTGAGATAGAGTAAGTGAGGTGAGCTACTGTTTTCTTCATCTGTCTATTTTTATGTTCCACAATTTTACAATGCTGGACATTTTATTGAAACAACCACTCAATTCGGAGACTATGATATTGCATGTTGAATTCTAAAATCCCCTGTTGTGTGGCATTGCTAAGAATGCACAAGGGGAAATTCTGTGCTCAGGGCTGTGACAAGTTTGACAAGATGAGCTCGGATGACCTCACCTCATGTGGTCACACAGCCGAGTGTACTATCGAGGTTCTCGGGAACAGATAAGGCAGATGAGGAATGGCTCTCCTGAGACAAATGCCGAGCTTTTGTAACTGGAGTAGAAGAAAGAAACAGGACATTTTAAAGCATTGTTTAATGAGTGAAGTAACGTGATGTGAAGAATGATGGAGGATAGGCAAACATGGGATTTTTAAAAAATAATTTCTCCATAAGCTCACAGAAAAGATTACAAATCATTGTTTTGTAAAAACAAATAAAGCTTTTTAAAATTCAGCTGGGAAGTGAGGATAGAAGGAAATATAATGTGCCCAAAAAAGCATTCATTACAGTGTTTATTGGTGAACTGTGGCTGTTTTTCATGAGGCAGTGACACCTGCTGTAATACACAGAGACAGGAAATTTTCAAAGGCATTGTTTTTTTGAGATCTTTGCAATATTTCTCATTTAAGAAAGACTAACTCCTGTGATGGAAAGTTTTTTTAAACATAAATTTAAATAACAGCATAAATATATGCCCTTATCGGGCACATTAGCGTGGATAGCTTATTTCCTATTCCTGGGGGAAATCAGTTGCTGGGTGGGATACAGAAGTAGACAGGCACATTTTGATTGGGGTCAAGATTGGCAAACAGTAGTTGGGACCAAGGATTTGGGTGAAGGTGAGCCTCAGCTAACAAACCTGGATCAAAACCTGTGTGCTGGAGAGAAAACGTCCAACGGGGAAGGAACTGGGGACCACTGTAATTCCTGAAACACTTCTGTCCAGGATAAAGCCAATTTCTCTGTCTGCTGAACCTTAGCCTAAAAATAGGATGTTCAGTATTTATGAGCTCTGTTTCTCAGTCAGATTACCCAGAGCCAGTTCCATGATTGCGAAGAGAGGAGGAGAGCAAGCGGTTGACTTTTGGCATCTGAAAACACATGTCCCTCCCTAACTCAATTGTGACTGTCTGTCAGAGAGCAGAGCTCTCTGTCTATGGCAATTGCGAGGTTGTAGGAAAAATAATGTGTGCTGGGCAACAATAATGGCAAAGGGGAGGGGCGGGGCTGTGGAGATGAGAAGGGACAAGGAAAAATAGAGACAAGAAATTAATGATTTTAAAGTTTCTGATGTGTTTCTTCATTTATCTGTTTTCTCTCCACCTACCCCTTCATGACTGCTATATGTATGAACGTGGAGTACCTTAATTTGTGAGCATCTGTTCATTCGATTTGCATTTCATATTCTCTAGGGGAAATTCTGTAACGCAATGAGCACAAAATGAGTTGCAGAACCATTAGTTGCAGCAGAGGTGGGGAGGGGTTCCCTTACCTGCTTTGAAAATGTCCTCTGGTACTCCTGGCTTTCCTAATGAAATGCTATCAACACTGCAGATGGTAAAATGATGTATATATCTTGCTGAATTCCCTAAACAAGGAAGCTTTCAATGGAGGAGTGCAGTCAGAATATTCTTTAAAAAAAGAGATAGTCCTCTGGAATCTGTAAACCTAAACCAAAATAAATGAAACTTGAAAATTATTTTTTTAAAAGCTGTATGAATCTGTGATGTACACTAAAAGATTGAGAATCATAAAAAAGAGACAAGTTTTTAAGGAGATTTAAAAAGTTTTCTGGTCAAACTCTGAACTCCCATTCTTCTCCCTAATCAGTGAATTTTTGGTAACACCCAGACATGTACATAATTCCTAATGATTTTCAGGGAAAAAATTAAAACCCATACTACAGTCATGATATAATTTATCATCCAGAATAGGACATTTTCAAAAGTATAAGGAAGCATGTTTAAAACGATTGTATTAAGACAGTACACATAACTAAGACTGTCCAAACTAGACAACTGAAAGTATGGGCTTCCTTCCTAAACCTTCATCCTATAGAAGTGCATGCTTAGTTCTGGAATTGTCGCTGCAAATCCATCCACCTACTGGAGTAAAGGTCACCATACCATTACTCATCCTTTGATCGGGTTCGCCACATTTTCAGGACAGTGGGTTGGGATCCAGGAAAGTTAAGCAACTTTCTCGTGGTCTCATAGTAACCGATGCACCATTTCCCCCTTGTCTCTTAGAAGTATCCTTTCTGTAGTTCCTAGATACTCAAGATCTTATCACCTCCCTGAGACTAATTACAACCACAGCAGTAACACCCCCAGGGACGCAGTTTCAAGAGTGTGATTTTCTACCTAGCACTCTGCACTTATAAATTACACTAATTTTTCTAGGCTTCAAGGCATGATTGTCTGGAGTGCTGACATATTCAGAGTGATATTCACCTATGGAATTATAGTATTTCTTTCTTGATAATAGAAGATAAACTAAATATACCTTTCAGTATATCCATGGAGATGAAGTCTTGGAACAAGCCCAAGTTAAGGGATTGTAGTTATCAACTCACTGTTTTTTCTAGATGGAGGCTTCTTTTTCTACTTCCTGTTCTTTAGAGGAGTTTAATTTTGTTAGTGTTGAGACAGAAAAAGACATGTCTAACCCTTAAGTCTCTTTGCACTGCTTAACTTCCTCCCTTTAGAAGCAAATACCAGGAATGAATTCTGGAGGACAGGGGCCAACTAGCAGTAAAAGCACAGGGTTGATCCTTGAGCTGAGTCTTGAGGGACAGAATGATATCAACAAGGCCTGACGGGCACTATATATACAGAGGTTCTGAAGTATTCAGGAGATTATTGAAAATCAGGAGTTTTTGCAATATGGGTGGAGTGTTTATGGCAAATGGTGCTGAAGGACTCTGCACAATGTGCTAAGGAGCTTGACTTCATTCTGTGTCCACTGGGGAATAACTAAGGGATTTTAAGTAGGAGAGAATGTATAGTATGCACCTTCTAAGGAGAAACTCAGGTAGCTTTAGAGGGTGCAATACAGTGCCACATCATGGCTGAAGACCAGCTGGAAGACTCTTGCCAAAGTTTGAACAAGAGAGGACAGATCTGAGCTAAGGCTTTGACTGAGAAGATTGATAAACAAGAGATTTAGATATTAAACTTATAGGACTAGGGTTTCACAAAATAAAAATCTGTAGTGAAACTATATTGAACCACTTAAGGGAGGACCATATTATGAAGAAGTAGAAGAGGAGAGGACAGGTAATAAATTTCTAGTTATGGAAACAGGGTAATCAGTGGCATTCTAAACTGAAGGACTACTGGAGAAAGAGGAAGTATTAGTTGGGTATTTGTAGAGATAATGAGTAACATCTAAATATATTATTTTTATGTGTTCATGAGACATCAGACACAGATGTCTAGAAACAGTAAGTATCATCAAGTCCAACTCTCTTGTTTTATATGAGGATACGAAGATTCAGAAGAACGAAAAAAGTTGAAGATCACCCAAAGCCTAACTGAGGAGTTGAAACTCCAAGCCCCTGATATTCAGTTCAGAGTGTAACTCTTTCTCTGAGCCAAAGCTTACCTACCATGTCTTGCCATTGTTTATTTTGTTGGTTAAAAGAAAAATGGTTGAGTTAATAACAACATTTTAATTCCTGGAAAGACTTTGCCTGAGTTTTACCTTTTTCTTAAGTTATTGCCTTGCATGCCTTGCATGCTGTATTTCAGCAATTAATTATCTGCATTAAGAAACTGCATACATGCTGCTTTTGGAGCAAAGTCCTATACGGAAGGTGACACATCTCTGTGATGTCACAGGTTCCTGAGAGGGTTTTCTAAAGGCTTTTGCTGAAGGCAGTAATATTCGGTCTGGGTGTCCCCATTTCCTCTTTTTGTTTTATTCTGTGCAGCTGTGTTGGAAGCAAGCAGAGGAAGTACCCAAAAGTGGGTCTGGATTAGAACGATTCTCGAACTTCCCTTTCCAGCATCTGTCTTACTATGAGGCAATTCAAATAGGAGGCGACCTCACAAACAGCCCTTTGTCAAGGCCAATAGCATGTTTTCCTTATGAGAAATGCCCTTTGCCTAATGTGAGTTTTGAAAACTGTTGCTCATCAAAAGTGGAAGTGTTTGACCTCCATTGGAAATACACTTGTGGTAGTAAAGTCACCAGTTCCTCAAAGTGAAGACAGATGTTTGCAGTAAGAGGTTGACACTGAAAGAAAGATTTTTAGGTTCACATAAAAATATCATTAATAAAAGGTTAATTTTTTAAAGAAGAAACAAAAAGCCTATGGTCTGTTTTTTCGGCTTCAAGGTACTTCTCACAGGTTTTTCCATCTCTGACTCCAACGTGATACTTATCTAAGTTACGATGACTCAATGAAGTTTCCTTGGTTATTTTGTCGTTTGAAGGTTATTAGAAGATGGCAACATCTTGAGATATCGGGTTAAATTTTTGTAAGTGATCTACATTTTCACAATCCTATTTTTGTTACTTTCACAGCTTCTTTTTTTTTTTTGATATTTAGGTTGATTTCTTATAGTGGCTTTGTTCATTCTGGATCAGCCAGACAAGTTTCTTACATTTTAGGATGCTAGTTGTGACTTTTACCTTGTAAATATCATCATCTATGTCTTCTTACTTGCTTCTGACTCCTAATTCAGAAATTACTGCTTAGCCAAAAATAATATGTTTTTAAAAAATTGTTGTTTGATTTTGCTTTGTTTTGTTGGCTGTAGTTAATGCAAAGCTAGATGTTTGTTTATTTATTCCAAGGCTTGGTTGCCTTAGGGCAAATTCTGTAACTGAATTACTCCCCACCAAACACACAGACTGGAGATTCCCACCCTGAGGCATGTCTCTCCTTGATGGGGATACAGTCTTAACCTCTAACAAATCTTCCAACTCAAAACAGCCAGGTATTAGTCCTGCAATCACTCTGGTCAATGAAGTTTCCCACGATCTGTTTCATGGCCTGGTGGTGAGGATTGTATCTGTGTATTAGCCATGCTGTGACATACTTGCTGAAATGTGCACCGGTGGCTTTGACCTCCCTCATCACATGAGGGAGGAAAAAGGAGGGTGTGAAACTCTGTGACCATCTGATTCCCATGGAAGTTTTGCTTGTTTTGCTGCTGGCACTCTATAAGGCAAATGCTACTCACTCCTTTTAAGAAATCCCAGCTGCAGAAAGGGTTGCTGACCACAACAGAAGCCGTTGCCAAAGCACTCTATTGGAGTACTGCTGTGGCCCAGGAATAGTTGCAAATAAGCAGAAGTTCTCAAGAAAAAAAAAAAAAAGGAAAATTAAAGCTCATGGAAAAGTTTTAAGATAAGAAGAATTTAATCTATGATTATGTCTCTATAAACACACTTTGTGGGTTTCAGGACCAGGACCAAGTCTGCACTACTGTTCACATTGTCCTGGCTCATTTGTTCTAGGTGGGTTAGGAAAATACTTCCCTTGACTTAGATGACATCAGGTCTCAATTGATAGCTGTGTAATATTTTATTTAAAAAACCCACATGTTGTATGAAAGTAAACTATAGTTAATAATTTGGTTACTTTGTTCAAAGAAGGTAAACTTTGATATAGCTGTGGGCAGAATATACAAGTTGTCTGTTGCTTTTTTTCTGTTTTATGATGCTATGTCTCTGTGTCTTTGGGGAAATACCTTCACATTTGTGATTTTCAGTTTACTGTGACTCTAAACATGTCATTAATCTCAAGCTGTGAATAGGATATGGCAATACAGAGTGAAACAAGCATATGTTTAGATGTAACAGTATTATTACTTCAAGCTGCAGGCATGACCCTGGGGTGATGACACACACTGATGAAGATTAGGATGAAGAGCTTCCACTATAGAATGAGTTATAAGAGAGATTTTTGGTAAATAGCCATTTGGAAGCTTTAAGGGAATCCATAAATAACACTCCTTTTTCTCCCCCTCCTGAGCTTATTGAAACATAAGACAGAAGCCAAACAAAGAGACCAAAATAATAGTTTTGTTATGTATAAAAGTTGCATCAGAAAATATAGTTTAATATGTGGCCAAATAGACATTTAATATTTTCTTTACTCTTCATTATGCATTTAATCTAGCACTGAAAACTGCTGAAATTCCTCTTGCAGGGATGGGGAGGGCCCACATGATTAACAGAATACAATGCCCTCTCTGTACAGGCAGCCAGCTCAGTAAGGGAGCACAGCCCACAAAAGGCTTCTCCCAAACTCACATCACACTGACTCACTCATCTTCCCATAGGGAAGTGTGGGAAAGGAATGAGGAGAGAGGCCAAGGGAAAGAGTAGGAAGTCCCTCATAGAGATATGAGGCAAGAGAAGTTGAGACCTCCCACTTAACATCCATAAGCAGCATAAAGAGAGAGGAGAGTGTGAATCATAATTGGTGAAGAGAAAAATGTTGCCATCTTAGAAGTTCTAGGAATGAGGTAGACAACGAGCCTTGTGGATAAAGGAGTTAAAAATAAGCAAGAACAGTTATATATGGAGAATAGAGATCAGTGTCTGTGGCCACTTTTGCTGATTCAGATGCACAGGTAAGAGGCTGAACAGCACATTTGAAAGATTTAAAGGGCTCAGAGTACAATGAGTCCAAGTTCTGTCTAGTGGCTCTTGCTTTACTTGTCTTTGGAACCCGAAAGGGCTATACCCTAGGAGAAAGGGCAAACTAAAAGTAAACAGATTCTCGAAAGAACTCTACCTCTTTAACCCCTGAACTGAGGTGATTCCAGAATTCTCGTGCTAACAGGCAACTGACAGAAATGAACACAAATAGTTTCTGATAGAAGATAACATCATCCTGGTCAAAAACTTATTTATACAAACAATATTGCAGATAAAATGTCTGGCACATAGTAAAAAAAAATCCATATACACGTAGAGACAAGAGAACATGAATAGGAATGAATGGAAATATCTAGACAGCAGATATAGATCTTCTGGGTTCCAGATATTGGTGTTATTAGACCTTTAAAATAACTATCATTTATGTTGTTCAAGGAGAACAAGACTGAGACAAGATTAAGAATTCCAGCAGAAAAATATTAAAACTTTAAAAAGTCATCATATTGAAGTTCTAAATGTAAAAATACAATAATCCAAATTAAGAATTCAGTGGATGGGTTTAGCTGCAGATTAGATGCAGCTGAAGGAAGAACTGGTGAGATGGAATATAGGTCAGAATAAAATATACAGAATGAGGCAAGGAGAGACTGAAGGAATGGACAGAAAAGAGCATAAGAGAAGGCAGTGAGAAAGTGAAAAATATGTAACTGAAATCTCAAAAGAAAGAGACACAACAGGGCAAGAGCAGTATTTGAAAAGAGAGTGGTTGGGAACTTTTGAAAACTGATGAAAGACACATCACGTAGTCCTGAAAACCCTGAGCAGCATAACTAAAAAGAGGGCGTATCTAGATACATAATAGTAAAGTTGTTGAATAAAAAAGGCAAACAGAATTTAAATCATGGGAGGGCAGGATTTTTGGTTTTGGTGGTGAGAAGATAAAGTAAACGTAAAGGATCAACACTAGTACCAAGAGCTGACTTCTTAACAGAAACAGTGGCAGCCAGGAGGAATGATATCTTCAAAATCTTGATATCTGACTGAAAAAAAAATAACTACTAACCAATACACCAATACTTTATGGAAAATACACTTGGAAAATGAAAGTGAAGTAAAAACATCTTCAGTCAAACAAAAATAAAGATGCTTCTTTACCAGCAGATACACAATGAAAGCAATATTAGTGAGCATTCTTTGGGTGAAAGAAAAATGACTCCCTGTGGAAGCTCAGAGATGCTCCCAAGGGAAACAAAAATGGTAAATATGTCATTCAGTAAATTAGTGTTGTCTGTGTAAAACAGTAATTAAATTTTATGTCATTAAATATGTATAGAGAGAGTTAAATAACAGTGCCATATAAATTGGGAGAATGAAATAAAGTATTTAAAGATTCTTGCATTGTATAGGTGGAGGATAAAGTACCAGTTAATTTATTTTATAAATCTCTAGGGTAAGCACTGAAAAAAAGAGTAAAAAAAGCATATAACTTCCAAGCTAATGGAGGGAGTTTGGAAAGTAATAGAAAATAATCCAATAAGAAGGAAAGAAAGAAGCCAAAAAAAAAAAAAAGACAAAATAAAGATGTAAAATAGATGGGATAATTAGTAAGAAACAAATAACACAGTAGATTTGAATTTTACATGTAAAGGTAAAGTTGAATAGCAAAAATTAATTTTGGAAAAGAATAAAGTGGGAGGAATTAGTCTACCTGATTTCAAGGCTTACTATAACACTATAATAATCAAGACTGTGTGGTATTGGGAGAGGGTAGAAATTTAGATCAATGAAACAGAATAGAGAACCCAGAACCCACACAAATATAGCCAATTGATGTTTGACAAGGTGCAAGAGCAATTCAGTAGATGAAAGCTAATCTTTTTAACAAATGGTACTAAACCAACTGGATAGCTGTGGTACCCTCTGCTCCCCCTTACCGATAAGAAAGAACCTAAACCTCATGCATAAATTAACCCAAAATGGACCACAGATTTAAATGTAAACATAAAATTATTAAGCTGAAAGAAGATAATGTAGGATAGAATCTTCAGGGCCTAGGACTTGGGGAAATGTTCTTAGACATGACACCAAAAGCAAGATCCATAAAATATAAATATTGATAAGTTGCATTTTTCATTGCAATTAGAAGCTTTTGCTGTGCAAAAGACCATGTGAAGAGGATGCAAAGACAAGCTACTGAAAGGGAGAAAATATTTGCAAGCCATGTATCTTACAAAGAACTCATATTTAGAAAATAGACGAATTCTTAATACTCAACAGTAAAACAATCCAATTAGAAAATGGACAAAAGATACGAAGAGGCATTTCACCCTAGAAGATATAGGAATGGCAAATAAGCACATGAAAAGATGTTCAGCATGACTGGACATTAGGGAAATGCAAATAAAGACCAAGATGAGCTATCACTACATACGTATAAGAATTGCAAAAATAAAAAATAGTGACAGCATCAAATGTCAGGTATGTAGAGAAATGAATCTCATACTTGGGACTGTAATATGGTACAGCCACTCTGAAAAACTGGCAGTTTAAAAATAAAAAATTAAACACACATTTACCATACCTGTTACCAATTACATTGCTGGGCGTTTGTCCTAGAGAAATGAAAATGTATTTCCACACAGAAATCTGCATAGGATTGTTCATAGCAGTTTTGTTTGTAATAGCCAAAAACTTGATAAAGCAAAAATATTTCTCAATAGGTGAATGGTTATATAAGCTGTGGTACATCAATACCATGGAGTCCTACTCAGCAATGAAAAAGAAGAAACTGTTGATACATGCAATAACTTGCATAAATCAAGAAAATTACGCTTATTGAAAAAACTCTCAGAAGAGTTACATATTGTATGCTCACTTATATAAGATTCTCAAAATGACAGAATTATAAAGATGGAAAGTAGATTAATGTTTACCATGGGTTAGGAGTTGTGAGGTTAGGGGTTGGCTATGACTCTAAAGGAGTAGCATGAGGGAAACTGTTGTGGTGATGGAATAGTTCTGTGTTCTGTTTGTGATTGTGGTTTTAGAGTTGTATACATATGATAAAATTACATGGTATGCACACACATTATACCAACATCAAAATCCTGGTTTGTATATTATACTACAATTCCATACGATGTAGTTCAAATGAAGGGCTCAGGGGTCCTTTCTGTACTATCGTTGCAATTTCCTGTGAATCTATAATTATTTCAAATGTAGAGTTAAAAAACACCACACACATTTATCAGTAATTACATTAAATGTAAATATATTAAGTGATTTAATTATAAGACAAAAATTACCTGACCAGATTTTTATTTTTTAAAGCCAAATCCTGTTTACAAAGGACATTCTAAAAACATTAAGATACAGAAGATTTGACTGTAAAAGGATGGAATCACTAACCAAAGAAAGATGGTTTGTTTGAATATGTACTTGAATATTAATATATCAAAGTCAATCGAAGCAAATACTTCTTTGAGTAATCATATGGTTTTGGAGATCTGTTCTTTTTAGGATTTGTCTAGTGGTGTAGAATTAGCCAGACTGTAATATCACAATGATTGAGATGAAAAACAAACAAAAATTCATGCCTTACTAATGATGGAATAGAACCATCTCTCTCTCTCTCTCTCTCTCTCACACACACACATGCACACACATACACACACACATGCACACACCATG